CCTGAAGTTTTCTTTTCTTGTTGAGTCTCCGCTGGGTTTTGGTATCAGGATGATGTTGGTCTTATAAAATGATCTAGGAAGGATTCCCTCTTTTTGCATTGTTTGGAATAGTTTCAGAAGGAGTGGTACCAGTTCTCTTTGTATGTCTGGTAGAATTCAGCTGTGAAGCCATGTGGATCTTGGCTTTCTTTGGTTGGTAGGTTATAAATTACTGCCTCAACTTCAGCCCTTGTTACTGGTCTATTCAGCATTTTGATTTCTTCCTAGTTTAGGCTTGGGAGGGTGCAAGTGTTCAGGAATTTATCCATTTCTTCCAGGTTTACTGGTTTATGTGCAGAGTTGTTTGTAGTACTCTCTGATTGTAGTTTGTATTTCTGTGGAATCTGTGGTGATATCCCCTTTATCGTTTTTTATTGCATCTATTTGATTCTTCTCTTATCAGTCTGGCTAGTGGATCTTTTCAAAAAACCAGCTCCTGGATTTACTAATTTTTTGAAAGTTTTTTTTGTGTCTATTTCCTTCAGTTCTGCTCTGACCTTAGTTATTTCTTGTCTTCTGCTAGCTTTTGAGTTTCTTGATCTTGCTCCTCTAGCTCTTTCAATTTTGATAATCAGGTGTCGATTTTAGATCTTTCTTTGCTTCTCATGTGGGCATTTATTGCTATAAATTGCCCTCTAGACACTGCTTTAAATGTGTACCAGAGATTCTGGTACATTGTGTCTTGGTTCTCATTGGTTTCAAATAACATCTTTATTTGTCTTCATTTCATTGTTTATCCAGTTAACATTCAAGAGCCAGTTGTTCAGTTTCCATGAAGTTGTGCAGTTCTGAGTTGGTTTCTTAATCCTGAGTTCTAATTTGCTTGTACTTTTGTCTGAGAGACTGTTATGATTTCCATTCTTTGCATTTGCTGAGGAGTGATTTACTTCCAATAATGTGGTCAATTTTAGAGTAGGTGTAATGTGGTGCTGAGAAGAATGTCTATTCTGTGGATCTGGGATGGAGAGTTCTGTAAATGTCTATTAGGTTTGCTTGGTCCAGATCTGAGTTCAAGTCCTGGATATCCTTGTTAATTTTCTGTCTCGTTGATCTGTCTAATATTGACAACAGGGTGTTAAAGTCTCCCACTATTATTGTGTGGGAGTCTAAGTCTTTTTATAAGTCATTAAGAACTTGCCTTACGTATCTGGGTGCTCCTGTATTGGGTGCATATATATTTAAGATCATTAGCTCTTCTTGATGCATTCATCCTTTTACCATTATGTAATGTTCCTCTTTGTTTCTTTTGATCTTTGTTGGTTTAAAGTACATTTTATAGGATTGCAACTCCTGCTTTTTTTCTCTATTGGCTTGATAAATCTTCCTCTGTCCCTTTATTTTGAGCCTATGTGTGTCCTTGTGTGTGAGATGGGTTTCCTGAATACAGCACATCAATGGGTCTTGACTTTTTATCCAATTTGCCATTCTGTGTCTTTTGATTGGAGCATTTAGCCCATTTACATTTAAGGTTAATACTGTTATGTGTGAATTTGATCCTACCATTTTGATGCTAGCTGGATGTTTTGTTCTTTAGTTGATGCATTTTTCATTGTGTCGATGGTCTTTACCATTTGGTATGTTTTTGGAGTGGCTGGTACTTGGTTATTCCTATGTTTACTGCTTCTTTCAGGAGTTCTTGTAAGGCAGGCCTGGTAGTGACAAAATCTCTCAGCAATTGCTTGTTTATAAAGGATTTTATTTCTCCTTTGCTTATGAAGCTTAGTTTGGCTAGATCTGTAATTCTAGGTTGAAAGTTGTTTTCTTTAAGGATATTGTATATTGGCCCCCACTCTTTTCTGGTGTAGGGTTTCTACCAAGAGACCTGCTGTGAGTCTGATGGGCTTCCCTTTGTGGGTAACCCAACCTTTCTCTCTAGCTGCCCTTAGCATTTTTTCCTTCATTTCAACCCTGGTGAATTTGACGATTATGTGCCTTGGGGTTGCTCTTCTTAAGGAATATCTTTGTGGTGTTCTCTGTATTTCCTGGACTTGAATGGTGGCCTGGCTTGCTAGGTTGGGGGAGTTCTCCTGGATATCCTGAAGAGTGTTTTCCAGCTTGGATTCATTCTCTCCGTCACATTCAGGTACACCTATCAAACATAGATTAGGTCTTTTCACATAATCCCATATTTCTTGGAGGCTTTGTTCATTTCTTTTCACTTTTTTTTTCTTCCTATTCCTGCCTTCTTGTTTTATTTCATTGAGTTGATCTTCCATCTCTGATATCCTTTCTTCTGCTTGGTCAATTTGACTATTGAAACTTGTGTATGCTTTGTGAAGTTCTCGTGCTATATTTTTCAGCTCCATCAAGTCATTTATATTCTTATCTAAGCTGTTTATTCTAGTTAGCATCTCATCTAACCTTTTTTCAAGGTTCTTAGTTTCTTTGCATTGGTTTAGGCACATGTTCTTTTAGCTCTGAGAAGTCTGTTACTACCCACTTTCTGAAGCCTGTTTGTCAATTTATCAGATTCATTCTCCATCCATCTTTGATCTCTAGCTGGTGAGGAGTTGTGATCCCTTAGCAGAGGAGAGGTATTTGGTTTTGGGTATTTTCATCCTTTTTGCACTGGTTTCTTCCCATCTTTGTGGATTTATCTACCTGTGGTCTTTGTAGTTGGTGACTTTCAGATGAGGTCTCTGAGTAGACATCCTTTTTGTTGATGATGAAGTTATTTCTTTTTTTTTTTTAGTTTTCCTTCTAACAATCAGGCCACCCTGCTGTAGGACTGCTGGAGTTCCACTCCAGACCCTGCTTGCCTGGGGATCACCTACGGGTGCTGCAGAACAGTAAGGGTTGCTGCCGGTTTCTTCTTCTGTTATCTTTGTCCCAGAAGGGTACCTGCCAGATTTTGGCTCTAGCTCTCCTTTATGAAGTGTCTCTTTGGGTATACGGGGGTTGGGGAGCTGCTTGAGGAGACAGTCTGTCCCTTATAGGAGCTCAAGTGCTGAGCTGTGGGCTCTGTTGTTCCATGGAGAGATGCTAGGCAGGTACTCTTAAGTCTGCCATAGCAGAAATCATAACTGCCTCTTTTCCCAGGTGCTCTGTCCTAGGAAGGTTGTCTTTATAAGTTCCTGTCATGCTGCTGCCTTTTTTCATATATGCCCTGCACCACATGGAGTAGTCTAGTGACAGTCTGCCAGCAGGGAGCTGCTGAGCTGGTGCAGGCACTGCCCAGCTGCTGTGTGAACTGCCTTGGTAGTGGTGGTCGCCCTTCCCTGCACTGAGCTTGACCGTCCTGGGTCCAGCTGCGCTTGCTGCAAAACTCAATCCAGAGCGTTTCAGATTGCTTTTTTTGCGGGGGTGGTACCTGCTGAGCCAGATCCCTGTCTCTGCCCCCTCCCTTTCAGTTGAATGGGTGGCTCTGTCTCCCAGGCATCCAGGCACCAGTTGAAATGCCTGCCCAGATTTGTGTGAGTTTCTGTGCGCCAACCTGGCAGCATCTGAAACCACTGTGCTGAACTGGTGATTTTCGGCCCAGGAATCTCCTTGTCTATGAGCAGTGAAAATTTGTTTGGAAATATGATGGGGCACTCACCCTCTGTGTTGTTCTTGCTGGGAACTGCACTCGAAGCTGTTTCTATTTGGCCATCTTGGATCCTCCCCAGGAAACAAATATTCTTAAACAGAAATGCTTGCTTAGCAAGAATCCTAATCATCCACTGGATTTGTGTCTCAGAATGGAAACCATCTCTACCACACAGTTTACTGTCCATATCAACACAGCTTTATTATCGCACCAGCTTCATAATCACGACTTCACTATTCCAGGAAACTCTTGCCCAGGAAGATAAAAGTGACAAATTATTTTATTATTCCTTTCAGGAACTTTGCAAACAACATTTAAACAAATAGCAGACTACCCAACTTTTTAATAGATAGCATCTTGACTGGTCTATTCTCCAAGACTTTTCAAAACTCTTGCCTTGCCATGTCTACCCATCCTAACCTCTCATGTTATGGTACTTTCCAATCCTAAGCAGGCCACTGCAAGAAAGACTGAAAACTCAGACATGTCCCACTTTTGCATTTGCCTTTCTGAGATGCTTCCAAGACTCAGAAAGACTTCTCCCTTACCATGGAAGCAGGAAGCCCAGCTCTGCCTTATCATAGGTTGATTTGGGGGCATTTTGAGGCATTTGACATCTAATGTATTCAAAATACTGCATTTATTGAATGCAACTGCAACAGGCTAGAAATTATCAGTTGCAACAGGCTAGAAATTATCATTGAGTTGTAGCTGGGGAAACAGTTTCCTTGAACTTAAGTTGCCCAAGGCTGTGCCATTAGTAGTCAGCAGAGCACGGGTCCAGCTGCCTGCAAAGCCTGCACTCGTGGCACTCTTCTACCTTCTCGAATTTAGTGAGACTCTAATAACAAATATATACATTCCAGTGTCTATTTGTGGGAACTGATAGTATTCTGCTCCCAATTATCTGGATGATTGCTTCAAGGGGACAGACACCCCTCTGGAAGACCTCACCCAGGCAGGCTCCTGAGGGGAGTTACCATAGAGATCATTTTCATCACAGGCAGTGGTAGTCAGAGCCCCCAGGACTTCTGTTTCTCTGCCCGGGGCCTGGAGAATATTAACCATGAGAGGTGAATGGACTCCAGTCATCATTTCAGGCAGTCACATTTTCCGAAAGGCATGGGTGCGACAAGTTAGTGGGGAAGAAAGAACTGGACCCTTTGCACAGCAGGGCTAGAACACAAAGCTTATTGTTAGGTTTGTGCATCTATTCAGATGCCATGTGGTACGAGCTCCATGCCAACCTGCAGACCCAATTCTTTTCTTCTCAGTAGCAAATGTACGTATTTGCTTTAAAGTGGGACGAGTTCACTCATGGTTGATTTTTGATTTGGAAGATATCAACCTCAGAGTGGTGACACAAAAAACAAAAGATGGCTTGACTCATTCAGTGCCTGGGGAAGGGGATGTGTGTGCAGAATTCACTTACCCAGAAGAAGAAGTTGAAGACAAAGAGTAAATACTTCAGGTAGACGATCAGCCAGTCATCCTGCTCAGTCTTAAAGTGGGCCATGGCTGCTGGGCCTGTAGAGAAGACACATAGGCTGGGCCAGGAAATCACTAAAAACCACCTCGTCCTTCCTGGAGCCAGAGCACCTTGGCAAGGCTCCCGTCAAAGGGCTCATTAGCCTATCTGTTGGGGGCTTTGAGGCTATATGTGTGCAACATGGAGCAAAGATCAGGGAATTGCAAAGGACACCAAATGGAGGTGAATTGGGGCAGAATCTTCCAGACCTTTGGATGTCAGTTTTGTCCTCTTGACAAAGATCTGACCTAGTCACCCACAGACTTTGCATGGGTCTTACTGTGTTCTTAATCTCTTTTCCAGTCTCCTCAGGGTTGCAGGACACAAGCATACCTGTCCTACACACACACACACACGTTCAGCATCACTACTTTGCATAGGAAACTTGCACTCTGCATCATTTGAACAGGACTCTGCATCCACAGGTGTGGCATAAGCCCCAGAGCAGAACACCTGTGCTGGAAAGGGTCCCAATGATCACCCAGGCCACCCGACCTGGCTGCTGCAGCTTGACTTTCCAGATGAGGAAGCAGGCCCAGCCACACCTGGTGGTATGGCAGGAAGAAGTACAAGAGCTTCTGGAGTCTGACTCCCTGGGTTCATACCCTGATCTGTCAAAAGATGTGTGATACTTAGGGCGTTATGTGACCTCTATCCTTCAGCATTCTCATCTGTAAATGGGGATGATGATACATATAGGGTTGTTTTGGAGATCAATGAAACAATCTACGTGAAGTGTTTAGCATAGTCCTTGGCATGAAGTATGTGTTCAATCAGTGTTAGCTATTATTACATGTCATAGAACTGGGGCTAGAGCCTAAGACTCCAGTCCTAAAGCTCCCGCCTCTACCCCAGCACCATGCTGTCTCTTGTCCTGACGTCCCCTGATGGACTCTCTGGGAAGTATGACATCAATGGTGACGATAAAGGCAGGGCCTACTGTGCCTGGTAATCCTGTTTGCTTCTCAGTCTTAACCTCAGAAAATCTGAAGCTTTGTGATTTCCTCCTCTTCTTGAGCTACATATGCCCCTGGGCATCTGGATACTCACACTGAGAGTAGTCGCTCTTTAATAAATCACCCCCATTTTGGGAACCTCTTTTATTTCAGAACCATAAGCAGAGACATGGTTTATGCTTATTCAGGGAGACGCTCAGCCAGCTGTCCGATTCAGTCTTACCACGGACCATGGCTGCTGAGCCTGCAGAGAAGACACACATGCTGGGCTGGGGAGTTTAGCATTTCCATCTCTTCTTCCATTATTTCCAACCCGCAATTGGACCCTCCTTTCATCCTGTTGTTGCTGCCTGGGCTGGTGCTGGGCCATGCCCCAATTATTTCCTCTGAGCCGTTGCTCTGCCTCTTATTTCAAGCACATGGGCTCACTGAGCCATGTGGCTGACTTATTTGTGATTTCTATTTGCAGACTTTGAAGAAGGTAATTTAAGACTGTTAGTTTTCTCATTAAAAAAAGACAAAACTCACTCTTCTTCAATTTAGTTTTCAAGGATATAGGAGAAAAAAAAGGAAGGCTGTAAGAAATGGCTGTGGATGGGGTCGGCCAGGGGATCTAACCGGAGTGATTTCGCCGTCATTCGTCCTGACAAGAGGGTGTCCTGGGCCAGGCCTTTAGCGAGCGGCAGAGTTTGTGGGGTCTGGCAGCTCTGGGCTGCAGTTTCTCCTGCTGTGCACATCCCTTCCAGCCAGGGCCCCTGCACTTCTGCCCCAGAACCTTCTATTTGTGGCAAAGGGGCCTGATTCACTCACTCCAACCACAGTCAGGGCCCTGCTCTCTAAAGGAAAATTGTATTAAAAAAAAAAAAAAAACTTCAGGCAAAAGACAGGGCTTAAGGAAAAGAAATCGTTCTAATGGTAAAATTTCAGCCACCGATGGTAGGGAAGACAGAACCACAAAATGTCAGGGGAAACCTTTGGGATTCCTTAATTCACTCTTCTGCAGAAAGAATGAGGAAACTTGCATATTTAAGATGCACATTTAAAAATGCCTTTTCTAAGGTCCCACGGCTAATCTGTAGTTGAGGTTCCTATTCCCCACCGTTCAGTGCTGCTTTCCCCCAACACCGTGGGTTGGGGTCCTGTGCTGGGGGTGGCAGAGGCCCCAAAGAAGCGTCAGCACCAGCCTACAGCCAGATGACTGGATGTGAAAGCCAGCCTTGCCATTTTACTGGCTGTGGGAACGTGGGCAAGTTATTTAACCTCTCTGTATAGCTAGTATTTATGGAACACTATGTTTTACAATATGCTTTACAAGCATTATTTTAGTCCATCTTCCTAATACCCCTATGGAAATAGGGTGATTCCCATTTCATAATATAACTGAGGTTTAGACAAGTTAAATAATTCATCCAAACTCACAGCAAGTCAGTAATAAAGCCAGAGTTGAATAAATAATCTCTGCATCTGTGCTCAAGTTTTTACCCACTGTGCAGTACTCACAGGACCAGGCTTGCCAGGGCAAAGGAGGAAGGGGAGGGACCAGAGACTGCTGGTTCCCTAATATCTGTTCTCTCATTTTTCTTTAGGAATGGAACCTCTCCATTTTAGTTAGATACTTAGTCACCTGGAACAGACATCTCCCAGCCTCCTTTGCTGCTAGGTCTAGCCAGGATTCACTGGCCAGTAAATGGTATATAAGAAGTGGTATAGAAAACTTCTTGGAAGCATAATTTTTTGACATGTTTCACATGCATTTGAAAAGAATGAGAATCCTGTCATTCTAGGGTATAGAATTCTGTATGTGTTAATTAGATCAAATTTGCTGATTACTTTTTACATCTTCTATATCCTGACTGACTTGTTCTGTTGGCTATTGAAAAAGGTATGTTACAGACTCTCACTATGATGGTGAATTTATCTATCATTTAATACTGTTAATTTTTGCCTCACATATTTTGCAGATATTTTATACGGTGCAAAGAAATTTGGGGTTGTGATATTCCAGTGGATTAAACTTTTATTTTTTTATTGCATTTTAGGTTTTGGGGTACATGTGAAGAACATACAAGATTGTTGCATAGGTACACACATGGCAGTGTGGTTTGCTGCCTTCTGTCCCCTTGGATTAAACTCTTAATCATTAATGTCATTCTTTATCTGTAATAATCAGAGGTAATCCTTAATGTATGTGGGGGGGACATGTCTCTCTTCACCCTTTCTGTTGGTTGGAATGCTGATGTTATGGCTGGAGCTCAAGCAGCCATCCTGGGCCATGAGCTGGAAACCATGGATTGAAAGGGGCAGGTCAATAAGTTTAAGGACTCTGGATCTCAGATGATTTTAGAACTGCCATATCATTTCTGAGCTGCTTACCTCCAGACTGAGTTTACGTGAGAGAAAGACAACTTGTAGGTTCTTTGTAGTACACGTTTTGATATGCTATTGCTCACACCTATCATCATTGGGATACAGCAGAGGAAGCACTGGGCACTAAGGTGTGTGAGAGCATCCCATGCCAGGGCACGGCAGGTCTTACACAATAGGACCAGAGGTGATGCTGTGCAATGGTTGCCAAGCAAATCTGACTGTACAGCTCCCCTAATTTCTTGATAAATTTTATTCATATACTATTGTTAACCTATATTGCAGATATTCAGGTGTTTTTGTTTTTGTTTTTTTGAGATGGAGTCTCGCTCTGTTGCCCAGGCTGGAGTGGAATGCAGTGGCATGATCTTGGCTCACTGCAGCCTCTGCCTCCCAGGTTCAAGTGATTCTCCTGCCTCAGCATCCCGAGTAGCTGGGACTACCGGCACGTGCCACCATACCGCACTAATTTTTTTGTATTTTTAGTAGAAACGGGGTTTCACTGTGTTAGCCAGGATGGTCTCAATCTCCTGCCTTCATGATCTGCCTGCCTTGGCCTCCCAAAGTGGTGGGATTACAGGCGTGAGCCACCATGCCCAGTGGATATTCAAATTTTAATTCTGCATTTTTTTAAAGATAAAAATAAGGAATAGGGATTCTAGTAAGTCCTCCCTGTACCTGTGTACTGTCTGTCTCCACTCTGGAGGCCACTAGTACAGAGGATGAATGGAGTGAACTGAAGGGTATGTAGGGGGTCAAGTCAAAAGCGACCTTACACACCAAGCTTGGGGACTTGGATTCACATCCTGAAGGTGATGCCAACCCCAGGATGGTGATGCTAACCCCAGGATGGTGTTGCTTAAGTTCTAGAAAGAGAATTGGGTGGGGGGAATGGAGAGTAGGGGACAGATGCTTGAACAGCATAGAGGGGAGGTCCCATCAGGCAGGCAGAGTGTGTGAGTTAAGAGGCAGGGGAGGAAAGATTGAGGAGCCCTGCTCGCTAAAAAGAGAGCCAGTGGAGGAAGAAGAAACAAGGCAGCAAAATGATGTGCAAGGGAGAAGGCAGGAGGAGAACCAGGGGAGTGCGGGGTCCTGGAAGCCAGGGAGGTCCACAGTGCCACCTGCTGCCAAGAGGTCTCAGTCACACGAGGACTAGCAAGGCTCACTTGCATCCATGGAGGACGGGTTGGGGGTTAGGGATGCACCATTAGGTGGGAGGAAATGAGACAATGAGGCCCGGCAGTGGATTTTTTAAAAGACAATCTCACTCTGTCTTCCATGCTGGAGTGCAGTGGTGTGATCTGGCCTCACTGCAACCTCAGCCTCCCGAGTAGCTGAGACTACAGGCACCCGCCACCATGGCCAGCTAATTTTTGTATTTTTAGTAGAGTGGGGGTTTCACCATATTGGCCAGTCTCGTCTTGAACTCTTAACCTTGTGATCCATCTGCCTCAGCCTCCCAAAGTGCTGGGATTACAGGTATGAGCCACTGTGCCCCATGGTGATGGATATTTTTAAATGACAAGGTCAGGAGGGAAGCAGCTAGGAGGCCTGGGAAAGGAAGCTGATACGGTTTGGCTGTGTCCCCACCCAAATCTCAAGTTCAATTGTATCTTCCAGAATTTCCATATGTTGTGGGAGGAACCCAGGGGGAGGTAATTGAATCATGGGGACTGGTC